GGTTGATAAAGATATTAGATTACATGCCACTGCCTCCTACTTAGAACAACAGGTAGACTCACTAGCTGAAGTAGTCTTACAAAACAGAAGGGGCCTCGATTTGCTTTTTCTCAAGGAAGGTGGACTCTGCATGGCTCTGGGAGAAACATGTTGTTTTTATGCCAACCACTCCTGTGTGATTAAAGACACCCTGGCCCAGATCAAAAAGAGTCTTTCAGAACAAGAAGAACTCAGAGAAAGTTCCCAAAACTGGTTTGAGTCCCTATTCTCCTGGTTGCCTTGGCTTACCACCCTTATCACTGCTCTGGCCAGTCCCCTCTTAATCCTTATAGCACTGTTAACCTTTGGACCCTGTATCTTTAATGCTACAGTCAAGTTTGTTAAACATGGGCTCTCTACTATACAACTGATGACTATGAGGGCCTATTACAATCCCCTAGATGACACATATGAATCAAAGGTTTGATTCAAGAAAATTTCCAAAACAAAAGGGGGGAATGAAAGAGTGCCCCTCAGACCCCCTCCCTGTCCTCTAAGAAAGAGCTTCCCTCCACCTGACTCTGGAAATCCCCTAGATTGTTCGAACCCTTTCCTGGTACATCTGTTTATGGTTTCTATGGAAATGGTCCGGGGCAGAAGAGGAAGTACGTTCTGCCCCAGGTAAGGTAGCCAATGGCTGTATAGGTTAAGGCTCTGGAAATCAGCCGTAGATTGTTTGAACCCTTTCCTGGTACATCTGTTTATGGTTTCTATCTCTGAGAACCCCCTTCCTGACTCTGGAAATCCCCTCTATTGTTCAAACCCTTTCCTGGTACATCTGTTTATGGTTTCTATGGAAATGGTCCGGGGCAGAAGAGGAAGTACGTTCTGCCCCAGGTAAGGTAGCCAATGGCTGTATAGGTTAAGGCTCTGGAAATCAGCCGTAGATTGTTTGAACCCTTTCCTGGTACATCTGTTTATGGTTTCTATGGAAATGGTCGGGGGCAGAAGAGGAAGTACGTTCTGCCCCAGGTAAGGTAGCCAATGGCTATATAGGTTAAGGCTCTGGAAATCAGCCCTAGATTGTTCAAATCCTTTCCTGGTTCTTCTGTTTATGGTTTCTGTAGAAATCTCCTGCTCTGCGGTTTTTGTGCTTAAAAGCCCTGCATTTCCACGGCTCTGGGTTGCAGTGTAGCTCCCGAGCCTGCCTGCATCCCCGGCTGGTCAGATTCAATAAAGCAGCTAAGTTCTCCTGAGTCTCAGTGTCCAAGTGGTCAATTCAGGGAATTTTTTTGACCCCAAACAGCTTTAGCATTTTTGTTGCTTCATTCACCTCTCTGGCCTCCAAGCAGAGCAGGTGCGATCACAGAGCACTCTACCTGCTACTTAATATTGAAAAGTGATTGAAGTGCTCTGTAGCAAGTAGACATTTCTTTAACTTTCTAATACATTTTCTTTAAAATATATGTAAATGCCATTAAGATGGCTTATCAGGTTAAAGGCATTTGCTGCTAAGCCTAACAACCTGAATTCAGTCCCTAGGACTCACATGGTAGAAGGAGAAAACTGATTCCCACAAGTTGTCCTCTGACTTCCATACCCTTGCCATGGCATGCACACACACATATATACATAGCATAAATAAATAAATAAATAAATAAATGTAAAAAAATAAACTAAAAGGCTTATTTTTATCTTAACAGAAATTATCATTTTTTTTTAGGTTAGCATGTAAAATACTGGGTTTCATCTTAGCATCTTTTATTTTCTATTTATTTTATGTGTTTAAGTGTTTTGTCTGTCTGTATGTAAATGCATCTGTGTTGTGCAATGCCCATGGAGGTCAGAAGAAGGCATTGGAACCCCTGGAACTGGAGCTGTGGATAGTTGTTAGCTGCCATGTGGGTGCTGGGAATTGAACTTGGGTCCTCTGCAAGAGCAGCCAGTGCTCTTAATCGCTGAGCCATCTCTCCAGCCCCTTATCATAGCATCTTTTACACCATTATTCTTTCTTCTCAGTCGTTCCCTTTCCCCATCTTCCTCCTCCCCTTAGTATCCTGCCTTCCTTCTTATTTTTTATTTTTATTTTTTGCATTGTTTTATTTGGGGAGGGGGGCATACATGTGCCGTGTGCTAGGGCATGTGTATGGAGGTCAGAGATCAGAGCCTTCATGACTTGGTTCTCTCCTTTCATCAGGAGGATTCTGGGGATCAATCTCACATCTTCAGGCTTGGCAGTAATCACTTTTACCATCTGAGCCATCGCCCAAGCCCTTTAGTTCCTGTCTGCACTCCTTTTGCATGTGATCAATTGTACGAAACCAGGATGCCAGGCCCAAGGGTGAGGTGAGCCTAAAACCTTTAAGTCCAGGCTGCATTCTCTGCTAAAGGGAGGGGCACTGAAAACAGTGGCTCTGATAATCCCCGTCTTGCAGAACATTGCCAGACTGGCAGGAGGAAGCAGTCTGGTCATAAAAGTGCAGGCTCCCTGCTCTGTGGGAAAGCATCTTGGTCAACAACCTTTAGCTCATCTCCTTGTCCTGAACAAATAACTCAGTTATCCTTAGCTAAGAGATTAGGCCAGGTTAAAGGTTTATTCCTGAACTAAAAGCTAAAAGTTCACCATGCTTTTAGCTCTAAGAAAGAAAACATTGTGGCCAATAAATTACCAGATGGGCATTGATAACCTTGAGTAAAAGTTTAAGAATCCTTCTGGCATGAACTAACAGACTAAATGTACTGTTTCTTTGTACCCTATGTGACTGCCATATCCCACGTGACTGCTAGTTCCTTGGGATGTATAAAAACCATCTGAATTTTAAAATAAATTGGCTTGTTGGAAAGACACAGGTCCCAGGGTCTAAGACTCTTCACTGATCAAGTCCTCTGCCCCGAAGCCAGTAGGTCCCCCACTAAGCAAAGCAAACTTGAGTCCCGACAATCCATCACACTATTTCCCACCTCCCATAAGATCTTTTCCTCCCAGGCCAGTGGGATGGCTCAGCAGCTAAAGGCACCTGCCAGCAAGCCTGCCAACCTGCATTTGCTCCCTGGGACTCACATGGTAGAAGGAGAGAACTAACTCTGGCAGCTTGTTCCCTGACCTCCACGTGGTTGCTGTGGCATGCATGACCCCCACCCCAACATGTAATTTTAAATTAAGCTTCCTCTTATGAGAGAAAGCATGCATATTTGTCTTTCTGAATTTGGCTTATTTGGCCTAACAGTGATCTCCAGTTGTATCCATTTTCCCGCCAATGTCATGATTTCATTTTTCTTTATAGCTGTATAAAACTCCATTCCCTATATGTCCCACATTTTCTTTATCCATTTATCATCTCTTGATGGACATCTAGGCTGGTTCCATTTCTTGGCTATTGTGAATGGTTCAGCAATAAACATGGATGTGCAAATATCTCTGGCATGTTGACTTACAGTCCTTCTGAAATATATCCAAGAGTTGATCATATGGTCGTCCCAGAACATTATAGGTTTTTTGTTTGTTTGTTTGTTTGTTTGTTTGTTTGTTTTGACAAACCTCCATACTGATTTCCATAGTGGCTGCAAAAGTTTATTTTCCCACCAGTAGTGAATAAGGGCTCCTCTTTCCCCACATCCTCATTAGTATTTATCATTTGTTTTCTTGATAATAGCCATTCTGACAGAGTGAAGTGGAATCACAAAGAAGTTTTAATTTGCAATTGCCTGATGTTAGTTAAGGCTGTTGAACACTTTTCAAGTTTTTATTGATCATTATATTTTGTTTCCTTTTCTTTTTTCTCTTTTTCAAAAATATTATTTTTTAATGTGTATGAGTGCATTGCCTGCATATGTGTAAATGCACCCGTGTTGGATCCCCTGGAACTGAAGTTAAGGATGGTTGTTAGCCACCATGTGGGTGCTTGGAATCAAACCTGGGTCCTCTGCAAGAGCAGCCAGTGCTCTTAACCACTGAGCCATTTCTCCAGCCCCATCTTTTTTTTTTTAAAGCCTGGGTCTTCCTGAGGCCCCAGCTGGCCTGGAACTCATTGTATAGACCAGGCTAACCTCAATCTCACAGAAATCTGCCTGCCTCTGCCCCAGGATGCTGGGATTAAAGGCATGTGCTGCCATGCCCAGCTTGTATTTCTTCTTTTGGGAACTGTCTATTCAGTTCATTAGGTTATTTATTAATTAAATGATTCAGGGCTTTTGGTATTTACCTTTTACTGTTCTTCTAAAAGGCTTATGATGAAAACAACCTCCTGCCCACTCCTCTCCATCTCGGGCCCACAGGCCCACCCGGCACTCATTTAATGCTTTCTGGATTCCAAAGATGTATTGAAACCTCTTTACTGTTGCCATTTTTTTCTATTGCTTTTAGGAGTTTTGTTGTTTTGTTTTTCTTTTTTTTTTATGTGTATGCATATATTACGTGCATGTAGGTAAATGCACCCGTGTCATGCAATGCCCGTGGAGGTCAGAAGAGACTGTCGGATCCCCTGGGACTGGAGTTACGGACAGTTGTTAGCTGCCATGTGGGTGCTGGGATTCGAACCCAGGTCTTCTGCAAGAACAACCAGTGTTCTTAACCACTGAGCCATCTCTCCAGCCCCATGTCTTTTTGTTTTTTGAGACAGTCTCATGTAGCCCAGATTGGCCTCAAATTCACTCCTGCCTCCATCTCCCAAGGTTTGAGATTACAGATTATGGGTATGCACCACCATACCCAGCATTTTTTCTGTGGCTTAGGCTGTCTTAATGAGATTTCCAGAGAGAGAAGAGGGCTAGGGTGTGGCTTAGTGGGAGAACACTTGCCTACCATTAGAGAGGCTCTTGGGTTTTAACCTAGCAGCTCAAAAGGAAGGAAAAGTAAACTAGAAGAAATTAATGAGCTGTCACTTTTATTTTATATATATGTATATATTTAATTTTTTATTGATTCCAGAATTTCATATAATGTATTTTGATCACATTTAGACCCCCTCCCCTCTCTCCAGCCCCTCTCCACCAATCTGTCACTTTAAATCAGAGACTGTGCATAGAATCCAGGCATTGGATTAGGATGAAACAGAGGTTTCAATCAGTGGGCTTTTCACTCAGCTGCAGCAGGACTGAGACAACAGCATAGAGGGCACGAAAGAGTTGTGCCTTAGGGTCAAAGCTCATGTCCTGAGAATTGCTCATCTGCTCACCCCAGTTCTCTTCCAAGATGGACTCCACCTAAAAGGAAACTCACCATATTAAAAGCTAGGAACAAAACAGGATCCAAATGGCAAACAGTTGGCCACAACCCTTCATTCTGAGCCCATACAGATGTAGGGATCCATCATGGCATCCATCCTGCAGAGCCCAAAGAACCCCACACTCTCACCACATATTGGTAGGCACTCAAGACGGTGCCAGATACCATCCTGGGACTATCCATTTTCCTACCCTCTCTTTCCCATAGACAAACAAAAGTACATCTCAAATTGTAATGGTAGCTGTATGTCTACAGAATTCTCACAAACCAGCTGCATGGACATGAGCCAACAGGAGCTATGGAGTAAGACAGATGCACTGTGGGGCCTCTGGGTCTCTTGAGAACATAGGCATTCATTTCCACTGACTCTGGCCTCCCACCCAGGCTATCTCACCTCGTCCCTCAAAAGGGGCAGAGTCCCAGACTCTAGTGCTTCTGCCACATACTTCTGTTCCTCAGACAGCTCTGGGGGCAAAAAAGAAAGTCATTAGTAGAAAAGGAAGGGGACATGGTGGTCAGATCTCCAGTGGCTGACCAGTTCCACCACATGCATCAGAAAGGTCCAAAGAGCCCCTGGGATGCCAGGATGGAGTTACTCCAAATGTCTCCTGCTCCCCTAGGCTATAGGAGGTCACAGAGTAGCCTGAAGGGGAAAAAGTGGCTACCCCTCAATATCTGGCTAGTCTCTAACATATCAAAGGCTAGCCCTCGCAGATTATAAATTAAGGCAATACGTTCCTCCTACCCCTCCTCTTCTCCTCCTGCCCCCCCTTCCCCTTCCCCCTCCTCCTCAGGGTGAGGTGCCAGGGTACCTGGACAATGATTTTTGTTTGAATCCCAGCTCTGCCACATAGAGGTATGTAATATTATCAACATTTGCTCCACACCAGCATACAGCCAGACCCTTCCTCACCTATCAAAGTATCCAAAAATTCCAGAATGACTTCTGCACACTTTTTCTAAGCACCCAGCATTATTAAAGAGGCTTCTTAGGAGAGGACCTGCTTGCCCCTCAGTCTGCAGCACACCCGAGGTCAGAGCATCAGACACCTGGGGGTGGAAGTTGGGGAAGATAAGCCTTCTAGCCCCATCCTGCCAGCGGCCCTCCCCAGAGCCCTCTCTCTCTGCCTCAGATCCCCCTTAGGGTCCCTTACTCTCTGCTCCAGATCCTTCAGATCTTCCTTGAGGAGGAATGGGGTGAGGGAGTGTAGCACAGTGTTTTTATTTTCATTCAGTTTCTGAAGGCTTCTCTCCATGTCCTGCACCCGCTCCTTCAAACTTCTAAAGTATCTTCCAATTTCAAGGACTTTCCTATAAAGGCAGAAATTATAAACCTGGCCCTCCTGCCCAAATGACTTCATCCCTAAAGCCCGCTATACCTCTTTTTTTTTAAAGACAGTTTCATATATCCCAAGCTTGAACTCACTGTGTAGCCAAGGATGACCTTTCTCCGGATCTTCCTGCCTCTACTTCTCAAGTACTGGGATCACATGTATGTCCACTATTCCCAGATAGACGTTATTTTGTCTATCTTTTTTGAGACCATCTCTCTGTCTTCCCTTCCAATCTGTTCTGTTAAAATGAAGCACCATTCTTCCCCACACACCTACCATCACCCATTTCCCAACTTCCATCTCCCTAGCTCGCTCCCATTTAGTCAGTCTGAGCTTTCCATATCCAGAAATAAAGCTCAGTTGTTTGATTTGTGCCATTCCACTGCGGTCCTCAGAGTCAGATGTGGCAGTGCACACCTGCAATCCCAAGACTGGGGAGATGGAGGTAGGAGGATCAGGAGTTCAAGGCCAGCCTAGACTATGTGAGACAAGATGGGAAGGGAAGAACGGGAGAAGGGAGGGAGGGAGTGAGGGAGGGAGGGAGGGAGGGGAGGAAAAGTAAAGGAAACAGGGTAGTCTTCAGACCATACTAGGAGTAGTGAGGATGTAAAAGCAGTGAGGAAGCTGGAGCTTTAACTGTGCCTGAGAATCACCTAGGAACTATTATGGACTGTTGCCCAGACTAGCCAGGTCAGAATCTTGGGAGACAGTACTGACCTAACTAGTTTTAAAGTTGCCCTAAGTGATTTCAGTGTATAATCAATGAGAACTTCTGTGTTTCAAAGAGACAGATTGACCTCCACAGCAGAATCAAAACCTTTTGGCACTGCCCTCCCCTGGCTACCCCACAAATCACTCTAGATGATCCCACCAGAGTGACAGCCTTAGGTCATGTAGGCCCGAGAGTGGGTAAGTACTGCCACCCTGTACCTACCTAATTGAGATGTGCCATTGTCCTCTGCAAAGGAGAGAAGAAGAATTTCAGAGTCTTCAGGTCACCTCTAACCCCTGTGAAGATTCTTTTCCCACTGCTGGGCACTTTTACCCTGGACTCTGAGCTGTCATTACCCATGTCACGGAGCCTGCTCCCTTGTGTATAAATTATATTTACAGACCCCTTCCCCTTCTTCAGAGATCTGCAGCCATAGGGCTGTGCCTGGATCACTCAAGCAGCAGCCAACACCCAACGAGGGTATAACACGACCTCCATCCCTTCCCAAGGTCTCTTTGGCACTATGACCATCCTGCTGGGGTTCAGGGAAAATTCCAGATATTCCAAAGGAAGCACATTCAGAACCGTAGGACCTTCCAACCTAGGTCAGAAAAAGCAGGGTTTGGAGACTATGGAGCTAGAAAGTGGCAGAGCAGGACTAGACTTGAGACTACTTAGTCCAGTAACCTCTTCGCAGCCTGTGCTGACGTGTACAGACTGGCCAGGAGCTCACCTGTGCTCTCTAGGCCAGCAGGCCTCCAGCGATGGCACAGAGCAAGTCAGTTGTCCAGGGAGGCGCCTGGAGGCCCAAGGCCAACGTGCATCCAGCCTGTGCCTCCAGCAGGCAGACGTCCCCCTTTTCCTTCCCACCTCTGGGTACATTCTGCTACATCTCCAGCCCTAGCAATTCTATAGCTCCAGGCCAGTTGTTAATCTTCTGTTTAATAGTAATATCCTTGCCCATTCTGAAAACATGAATAGGTGGCCCAGGAGCTCACTCACCTTCTGGAAAAGACTTTGTTTTGGCCTGGGACGCAATAGCTAAACCAGCACCAGAGACAGGAGGAGAGAGAGGAGGGGAAGGTGACAACAGTTATTTCTCTGTAAATTCTCTCTTTCCAGTCCCTCTCAATTCCCGTACTCTGCCTCCAACCAAGGAAAGGTGGGGAGGGGTACTATTAACCTGTTAGGAGACCAAGAATGGTGTCATGGTGAGGGCATATGCTGGGCCAGCTGGGTCAGGGTCCATATATACCTCAGTCCTTCACAATCTTCCCTCTTCCCACCTGCAGGTTCACCAGCCACCCATTCCAGGCTAACACAGAGGCTCAATCCACCCCCACCCACTTGTGTGTTCAGAGCCTCTTTCCTGTGCCCACCCAGGTCTTGCTTACACATCATTGCTTTGGAGAAGATAAATTGCTTCATCCAATAGGCCATGACTGTTTTGGCGGAGATGGTTATTTTGTTTTGTTTCTAGGAAAAAAGATTCATGTTCATGGATAGTACACTATTATCTCGCCTGATCTCCCAAACAGTCCCGTGATGTAGATATTTTATCCTCATTTTACAGATGGGAGAATGAGGACTCTCAGGCATGTATGTGAGCCAGTCTACAGCTAAAACCAATGGCAGAGCTGAAATTCAAACCCACATCTGCTACCAAATTCATGCTGTTTCCACTATTCGTTTAACAAGTGTACATTGAGGACATGCTTCATTCTAGGCACTGCGGCTCCTCCTGCCTCCTAAAAGGCCAAGGCAGATAGTGAATAAAACACCCACGTGATTAAGAGCAGCAAAAAGTGCTGGGAAGAAAATGAAAAGCGGGCATGCACTGCTCCAACAGGTCTGAAGGAAGAGCTAAAGAGGTTGAGTCTTGGCTGGCATCCCCTGGGCCTACAGTGGGTGGGCCAAGGCTGGCTGTTCCACACCCCTGTCTCCAGGATACTAACCTTGGTTTCAATTTCATAGTTAAAGACGTTCTTGAGGAACAAGCTCCAAATGTTATATTCCATTCTTTTTGTAGAGTTTCCTCCTTTTCTAATTCCAGAGTTTCTGTCACCAGATACAAGTTTTCTTCCTGATTAATTGATCAGAATGAAGGGGGTAGTTCCATTTTGAGCTTGCTGGAGGGAGAAGAAGGGGATAAGAGCTCAGGGCTTCCCAGTAACAGCTCTTCCTGTGCATCGGCTAGTTCCTACTTGAGATAAGTGCTCATGAGGCTGAAAAAGCAAGAAACACGGCACCTATTACAGTTCACACTACCACTGCAGTGGGGGTAGGATGCCCAGTGGGAAGGGAACTCACTAGGATGTACAGTGTGTTCCTGCACATCACAGACAGTGGGATATTTCAGTCTATTTAACCCTCACCACAACCCTATGATGTAGACACAATTGCATCCTTTTTTTTTAATCTGAAGAAATTTTGAACATCTAGAGCCACACTGCTATTAAATATACAGTTGGACTCAAATCCTGGTCTGAGTCCAAACCATGTCTTTCCCATGATACTAAGGATATGTGTCTGGCAACCCTGGCACTGCTGCTCTGAGAAGGGACCCCTCCTCCTGGCACTGGTCCCTGAACTCACTCAGCTTCCTTGCCTGTCCTTGAGCATCTGATTCCATAATAAAATTCATTTTGTGACTTAAAATAGCTTGATAGCGCCACTGCTAATTGTAGAGAAAAGACCCTCAGAGAAGACATGTGCCATGTCTCCTATAGCCTTACCCTTCCTCCCCAGGGACTCCCACCCTCACCCTAGAAACAACCCATTCTAGAAAAAAAAAACTGAACTTCTCTAGAAAAATCCTGGAGGCCCTTCTGGAGCAATTCTGTAGTAAAGGATCAAAAAAATAAATAAAAATTTAAACAAAACAAAACAAAACACCTTACTATGAAAGCCCTGGGTCTTGCAAAAAATGAAAAACAGAAGATGAATACACATCCACCCTGCTGAGACAGAACCACCCTGATAGTTGTGGGGTGTCTCCTCCCGAGCTACTATCAATTCCAACTGGGGAAAAAAGACCAGCACCAACAGCAGAACCAGTGCTGCAGGGGAAGCTGCCCAGGTCACCTTACGTAGGAAGCACCAGGCCCTGCATCTCCCAAGAACCTCTGGGAGGCCATGTAATAGCTATAGGACATGTTCTACAGAGGTGGTTTTAATTTCATTGTGCTTCATTTTAACTCTCTTGCTGACTGACTACTATGTGCTGGGGGTCAACAGAGAAAGGTGAATAAAGCCAGCTCCTGTCCAATGGGAAAAATGGACATAGAAACCATGGGTTTCCGTGGAAGAGCAAAACAAGCACAAAATGCTGGCTTGGGCCAGTCAGTACAGGAGAGCAAGGAGAGTGGCCTCTTGTCTAAGGCAGAGCAGTCACCCAGAGGAGGGCAGGGATGTGAGGAAACTGGACTCATCCAGAGGCTACCCCTGGAAGAAGGCAGGTCAGGACAGGACTGGGCTAAGAGTGCAGAGAAGGCCTGAGGGCTGCACCAGCCAGGGTACCCATGGGATGCTCTTGGTGCCCAGAATGGTCCCTTCCCCTTGTCCTTTCCCACAGCTGCCTGACTCCAGCCTTACTTTTGGCCCAGGGAATCCAAAAATTTCTGGATTATCTTCCTGTGTATTATACTGGGTTTCCAATTACAGGACAGCCGGATTCTGACTGCAAGTTTTTCTCCAGGTAATTTTGCTGTCAGTTTTGAATCTGTGTTATCACAGACTTGAAACATAGCCTCTGCATCTGGAAAGACAAAAGTAAAGGTCACATTGGTACTGACCTAGAAGTTCTTTCTCCAGAATTTCCTTGCTGGCATCACCCATTCCTAGGTTCCCTCTACTGACCCAGCCTCTGAGGAAGCCTGCTGCTGGACTGTCCAAGAAAGGCTGCCCTTCCTAGGAATTAGCATCACGGGTCAATCACTGGCATAAGCCTGCTCTACTACCTTCTCACCAGGTGACCTCTGATAAGTCATTTGACCTCTTTGAATTGTTTCCTCATCTGTAGATGGAGAATATTAAACAATAGCCACTTCCTTTCCTTGGGGAAACAGTAATGCAGGTAAGCACTTAACACAGTGCATGCTGCACATTGCATTGCTCAGCAGATGTGAGCTAGTCCTGTTAACTAAGAGTCTGAAATGAGGCAGGGACAAATCAAAGAAGTAGGAAATAAACTGTCAACTGGGAAATAAAAATTAAGCATCTCTTTCCTAGTGTCTGTATGACTCATGCAGGGGTAAAATGGGACAGCCTTGGAAAGTTGCCTTAGTTTAATGTCTGTTGCTACAATAAATTACTGACCAAAAACCAAGTTTGGGGAGCAAAGGTTTTACTTCATCTTACAGGTTATAGTCTATTATCAAGGGAAGCCAAGGCAGGAACTGAAGCAGAAACCGTGGAGGAATACTGCTTACTGGCCTGGTCAGCTAGTTTTCTTATATGCCCTAGATCTACCTGCCTAGGGATGGCACTGCCCGCGGTGGGCTGGGCCCTCCAACATCAACTAGTCATCAAGAAAATTCCCAGTAGGCCAGTGGGATGGAGGAATTTCCTCAACTTCCCAAGTTGTACCAAGTAGACAAAACCTAACTGGTACACTGCCTGTCTACACAGATTCCAGCTACTGATGGGGCACTACTCATCAGGGCTCAAAGGCTGAGTATGCTGAGCTAGCTGCTGCCCAAGATTCAAAAAGGATGTATGGGTATGTGTAAGGGCCTTTCTCTCAGATCTCTCAAGGAGAACCAAACCAGCAGGGGAGGGAGAGCCCCTGCTGCTAGGTGTGGGAGTCACAACTGGATTTCCAGAGGAAAATGCGTTCTGAACTAGTAGAAACATTACAGAATTAGAAACAGTGCTTAAATCAACCCTGTACACAGGGTTGATAGGCATTAATGTACACAGGGTTGATAGGCACTAATGTCTCAGAGCCTATTTATTTCTTGAGCAGTATAGAAGGCTGTACATACTCTATCAAAAAAAAAGAAAGAAAGAAAGAAAGAAAGAAAGAAAGAAAGAAAGAAAGAAAAAGAAAACTGAACTGTATGTGCTTGCCTTCCTCTGTGGTCCTCTTTCCAAGGTGTCATAATGGTGTGTGTGAATGTCCTAGTTGATGCCCTTAATAGCATCAACAATATTGAAAAAGAGCAGCGGGCAAGTGACTCACACCTTTGATCCCAGCACTTGGAAGGCAGAGGCAGGCAACCTCTGTAAATTCTAGGCTAACCTGGTCTACACAGTGAGTTCCAGGCCAGTTAGGGTTTCATAGTGAGACCATCTCTCAAAAAAAAAAAAAAAAAAAAAAAAATAGAAATTATGGAAGATGAGAAACCTAATCATACCCAAGTCATTCAACAATTCTTTTAAAAGCCAGCCTTTTGCTTTACCTATTTGATAACTTATTTGGAAAGGAAACTAAAAAGAAAGAGGTCCATATCAAGCCCTGTTCCAAAGCCATTTTCCAGTCTCTAACTGTGGTAAAGCAGGATTCCGTGAGTGAACCTGAATCTGATCATCACTGACTGGGAAAGTGTCATGAACCTCACAGGCAGGTTAAACAGTGTGAGTGATCAACCTAGACTTGGTGTGTAGTTCAGAAACTTAGAAATCTGTTCCCACCCCACTGTTTAGTTTTGCTGTACTGACAACCACAGATGGCATCACAAACCACAAAGAAGCAAACTGAAAACACAGAGGAGCAAAATCCTGAGCTTTTTTTCTTAGGTACATAAAACATACAAATAAAATGGTTAATGGATTAAAAAATGAAAACTATGTACATAAGAACACAGTACGGGGGATGGGAAAGAGTAAACAACAGTAGGAAAAACCAACAAAACTACCTTAGTCAAGTGACCAAGGTCAGCATCAACAGTGGTAAACAAGTAGGCAGCATGTACCCTTGACAGGGTGAAAACAGCACTTTACTCCCCCAAACTCATTACCACAGTTGAACAAAAAGGAGTCAGAAAAAATATCCAACAGTGGACACCCTACAATATGCCTACAGGAGGTGGGACAACGTGTGCTATACCAAAGAGGTCTGAGCCGTAAAATTTCGTTTTCACATCAAAATATTTATTCATATAAAACACAGTCAATTCTCTATATTCAGAGTAAGACACTAAAATGGTTGTCCAAGGGCTTCCAAAAAAATAAGAACTCCCATTCTATCTGGGCACTGAGGCAGGGGCTCTGGGCCAGCCGCGACTGGAGGTGACGCTGAGTGCTCCTTCTGTGCCTGCAGGCACTGTCATTTGTTCTTAGTCTTCTCAAGTTAAGGACATCGAAACTTCAGGTAAAGCATCTTGTCCTGAGGTTGCCCTGCTGGTTGGTAGCAGAGGGCTTCAAAATCAGGCAGCTCTAGCTCTAGAGGCTGCATCCTTCCTCAGCTCCGTTTACTCAACAGTTTACATGGTAAAGACAGAAACACATGAAAATAGCTCGGTCATTGGAAAGAAATTATAAAGGAACAACTTGGGAAAGGCTATACAGGAATAATGTCCAAGAGAAATCTCTACTTCCTTCTCCCCACCCACCCCCTCAGCTCTTCTGTTTCTTTTTTTTCCCCCCAATATTATTTTTATTTTATGTGTATGAGTGTATTGGCTGTCTCTATGTAAATGCACTCATGTCATGCAATGCCTGCAGAGGTCGGAAGAGGGTGTCAGATTCCCTAGAACTGGAGTTAGGACGGTTGTTAGCTGCCATGTGGGTGCTGGGAACTGAACCCAGGTCCTTTGCAAGAGCAGTCATTGCTCTTAACTGTGGAGCCATCTCTCCAGGCCTGCTCTTCTGTTTCTTTTATTTTTTCTTTTTTGGTGTTTTTGAGACAGGGTCTCTCTGAAGCCCCAACTGGCCTGGAACTCACTATGTATACCAGGCTGGCCTCGAACTCACAGAGATCTGCCTGCCTCTGCCTCTGCCTCTCTGCTCTTCTGTTTCTTAAATAGAAGTGTGCACAGTGTGTACAAATCACCTGTTTGGCGGGAATGGGAAGTTGAGAACAGGTTGGGGTAGAAGCAGGCTGGCCATTTCTTACCCATCTCATACTGACCTGTGAGCACTGCATCCAGCTCAGCAAACAGCTCTGTGTTCTCCTCTCTTTCCAGTATGTCCTCCAGGGTGAGGTCTGTCTTGTACTAGCACCATCCCCAGATCCTCTTCCTTCTCCTCATCAAAAAAACCACACTTGAATCCACCAGCATCAACTATACTTTTAACAGAAACCATATCCCTTCCAGAATCCATCTCCCAGACCAGAGATTTTGTGACACTTTCAAATAGGGACATTATGCCTGGACCAACTGTGGGAGGAGGGTATTGGTTCAGAGTTTGTTGGGCTTTTTGTTTTGTTTTTCTTTAAGACTGAGTCTCATCTAGCTTAGGCTGACCTCAAACTTGTTATGTAGCTGAGGAAGGCCTTGAACTCCTGATGCTCCCACCTCCCAAGTGCTGGGATTACAGGCATGTCACCACATGTAGCTTTGGTTCATATTTTTTTTTAATGTTGCTGAATTATTATTATTATTATTTTTGTCTTTTTTGAGACAGGGTCTCCCTGTAGCCCCAGCTGTCCTGGAACTCACTATGTAGACCAGGCTGGCCTTGAACTCACAGATATCCGCCTGCCACCACCTCCCGAGTGCTGGGATTAAAGGCGTGCGCCACCACACCTGGCTGGTTCATATTTTTTAATATTCTACCTTTGGCAGACTGGGGACAGGGCAAGGATACAAAGTTCCAGGACAACTAGGGCCTGGAATGGTTAATCTTCCCACCTACTGTGAGTCAACCACAGCACGGGGAGGAAGAATGACCATCACAGACCCCAGATCCTCCTCTGTCCCAGATGGAACCTGTCTGGGGGAAAAGTGGAGCAAGGGATTGTCCCAGTCAGGGAAAGTGAGCCTCAATTTCTGCATCTCTCAGAGGGGCGTGAAAGCCAGGAAAGCTAGGCTCTCACCAGTGTTGAGAGAACTCAGACGGGATACCTGCACACCACACACCTCCCATGATCAGCCCTACATGGGGTAGGGCTCTACCCTTGGCTCTGATCCTCAAGCCTCCCTTTCTGGCAGTTGGATGTGTGTCTCCCTAACAACCCTTTCCCAGTGGCATGGTGCTGAGTCAGTCTCAGAAAAAAGTGAAGTTTCCCAGTTTCCCCAACCACGACCACCCATCTCCTACCTCTTGCTACCTTCCCCTAAGTCCCTTCAGCCCAGCCCTGGCACCTACTCTACCACTGCTCTTTTCTCTGTCCCTGGCCCTATCATGGTAGTCCCCTCTTAACTCTCTTCTGGCCTGGGAATTCTAGACGTCTGAATAGTGCCCAGGACCACAGGCCCATCCCAAACACCTACCTCCTGATTGTCCTTAGCATCTCCTCAGAAATGGTCAGAATCCTATGTCAGATCTTTGTAGTTCCCAGCTGGACTCTCAAACGCTATCATAAACAACTGAAAGTCCACAAGGTGAGAACTTCTTGGAAAGCTGGATAGGGCTGGGTGCCCTGCCTCTCAGACCCTTTAGATAAGGCAAATTATGGCCCAGGTGGAGAAAGGCAGGGCCAGAGCATCTGCCCTTTGGACCCAAGGAGTAGGTGGGAAATCTTGATATATAAGCTAGGTGAGTTTGGGAAAGAATAGTACAGAGGAAAGGGCCCTGGCATGTAATCCAGTGAGCTGAAATCAAGAAAAGGAACCTAAGTGGCTCCCAACTCAGAGGCTGTGCCAGGGATACAAAAATGACCTCAGGGCCAGCTAAGCAATGCCAGGATGTAGTGTGCAGTAATAAAGTCCAGAACAACTATAGTGAATACCCATAGGAAACAGGTCAGTTCAGTAAGGACTCACCCTCCCTCCCTACCACACTCACTTGGTGTCCTCCTTATCTGGATGCCATCTACCTTCTTCAACTACCTCCTCCTCCTCTTCTGGCTCCACCCCTATCCTATCCTTCCTCAGATAACCACCAGGGTGAACCCAGCCTATCTTCTGGCCCCTGCATTCCTCCATTCTGAAGCACTTTGAAGGAAACTGTGATGGTCACAATCATAATAGTTACTAAACTGTTGGCTACACTCTAGGCACTATGCTCATGCTCACAGCAGGTACTATCTTATCAGCGGAGGAGCAAACTGAGCTCAGAGAAGTAACTTGATAAGATCACACAGCTCTATGTGGCAGAGCTGGGATTCGAACGAAAATCATTGTCCAAGTACACTGGCACCTCGCCCTGACTGGCTTAGAGGCCAAGGACAGCCTACTCCCAGGACCAAGCCCAGTGGATGGCCTTCTCCCAAAGCCTTGTAGGCCCCTCTTGGGGCGGGAACAGTGTGGCTGGACTGGAGCAAAGATCCCACTTTCCCTGACCCCCACTCCAAGGATGCCATGATGCTGGCCCAGAGCCACCAAGGAGCCAGGCTGCTTGGAAGGGAGCTCCTCCACCTGTCTGGAACTTTGTACCTAGACAAGGATTAGCAGATAATACTACACAGAACACCCTGAAAGGCCAGTGTCCTCAGGAGGTAAGGATTCCTCAATACAGCACTCCTCCCTCTCCTGGCTGTGTAAGCCTCAAAAAGCCCTGGGGATACCACCTCACCTCCCATGGAAACTCCTCACAAAGGCAGGAGGAAAGGCAGCCCTCCCAGGACTGGAGCAACTGGGAATGCCCTCAAAGGAAGGAGGAACAGGGAGAAAGCCTGAGCCTGATTGTGCCCCCCTCCCAGCTCCATTTGTAAAACTGTCTGGACCCCCTACCTGACGACCAAGCCCCACCCAAATTCTCCAGCCAAGTCTATGAAGACTAGGCTCAGAGCCAATCAGAGGAATAGCAGGGCAAAAGGCACAGACAGCAAATTCTGCTCTGACTTGCCAAGGTCTTCACCAGCTCCCTCGCACACCCTTGGGCTGCTGGGCCAAGAGAAGAACCAGTCAGCTGCTCCAGAGTCTCCCCACCACTGCCTGGGCAGGAGCTGCTGCCCACACTGCTATACCCCCACCCCCCACATGCCCTCCAGGAAGCAGAGGCCAGACACAGGGTAAACAGGAACTTTTTTTGCTTTTTATTTGCATTTTTCAGAATACTGTACAAAGGGAGTAAAAATCTATTCACACTGCTTAGAAAGATCGTAAGGTGAAAGTTCCCTATGATACATGGGGGTGAAGACCAGGGGAAGAAAACAGGGCTAGTGATCCTCCCTGCGACCCCTAGGAGAGAGCCTGGGCACTCACAACTTTCCAAAGGAACACACCCCCAGTCGAACCAGCGAAGGGAGAAGACAGCTCCTCTCCAGCCCAGTCTTAGGCTCAGGGTCCCACTTCTCCTCAGGCTGAGGAGACAGCGCCTGCAACTGCTCCCTCCACAGCCCTGCTTGGGCAGAGGTCCTGCAGCACTCTGGGACCCACCAACCTCATGTGGTGGTGGCCTCAAGGCCCTTCACGTGCATGCCACACAAGATGCACTGCCCCAGCACAGTCTGCACAAAGACACAAGGTAAGGGGCTGAGGAAGGGCCCCACTGCCTCTATCAGTTTCCTCACACCCCTGCAGAGGGAAGGGTCAAAACTGGGCCTGGGCTTCTGGTAGTTCACAGTCTCTTCCAGACATGCATACCCCTCGTGCCAACCAGGAGCTTCAAACCCACAGAAGCTTCCCTTCCCCAACACCACCATTCATGGGCAAATTAAGCTTCCAAGTCAGCTCCCCTCCCAGCCCACATCCCAAAGGAGGTTGGGTCTAACTTCTCCCCAGACCTCTTTTACACCACTCTCTGCTGGCTGCTGCTATCCAGCCCACTCTAAGATTCAACCCACTATCCACCTCCCTGCCCCTGCTCGAGACTCCCCAGGACCAGGGCAGGAGCATCCTAGCCCTCTACCTCTAGACCAGGGTCCCCACCAGCCCTATCTTCCTCTCCTTGCCTTTCCCCCACCCTACAACTCACCCATACCCAGGGTGAGTTACAGGGAAGCCACCAAGCCTGACACTTGGATCAGACAGCTCTCTACCCAGAGGGCTGAGGCAGTGCCACATGCGAGTTTCCAATATACACAAAACAGTGAGTTTCACCCTACAGACTGAAGAACTGAAGGGAAGCAATGCAGCAATGTACCGTCCCTCTGCCCCTTCCTCAGGAGCTAAAGTGCTATGACTGCCTGAGGGTAAATAAGCCAACAGGAATTTCTCCCTGGTTTCCTATTCCAACCTCCCAGGTCCACAGTCAGCCAGGGAGCCCAGTCCCTTCCATGACAACCCCCATGGTGTCCTATTCAAAAGGCAAAAGGAAAAGATCAAAAACTTCAGAATGGGTTAGAGCCCAAGGGCCCTACCCTAACCCCACTACAAGCTACTCCAAGTTGGCTACTGGGGAACAAGGGGGAAGCCAGACCAAGGGCGCACCCCCATTTCCAGCAGTGTCAGAGGCTCCTGTTTTCAGCATCACAGCAAAGGCCTTCCACCCTTCCCCTGCCAACCAGGCCGAGGAAGGAGCTACACCCTCAGTACTTATTGATTCCAAAAATCCGGACTCCATGGAGCTGGGGCAGCTTGGGGATGAGCACACTCATCAAGGACACA